CTACATCTATTTGTGACCTACGTCCAATACCTAATCAACCTGATTGAGATTTTTTGCTAATCTTTAATATTATAAGTTTTACAATCACAATACTACATATAATATATGTCTATACTATTAAAGAAACTAGTTCTTGAACCACAAGAAGCATTTACTTGTAGTAACCCACTACAAGAATTTCCTTCTTAAGAAACTTACTTAAGAAAACAAATCGTAGAAGTTAAAGAACAAATTCACCTGATGTACATAACAAATTAGAGTAGGTGAATCAACAAAAATAGTATATCCTATCACTCCATGAACATGATGATCAATTCAAATGTTGAAGTCTTTCTTGAGGTTACTACAAATGTTACTAAATCTCTTCTTGTAAAGAAAAATGTTTTCCAAAGAGTATTTTCGAACAATATATTACAAAGATTCAAGTCTCTTTGTTCTAAGTGTGAAAAATGATATATATATATATATATAATATATATATATATATATATATATATATAAGTTTTCTAATAGAAATAATCAATTATTTACATGGATAATCGATTATTTTATTCTTAGAAGATTTGAAAATCAACCAAGCACGGTTTAATTGATTATTTTGAGCAATAATCAATTATTTTAGATATCAATTTCTAAAATAATTGATTATTTTGCTAAATAATCGATTATTACAGCAATTGCTCCTCATGATACTAAAAACAGAGCAAATAATCGATTATTACTTAAGATATATAATCTATTATTTTATGTGAGAACTTAATATCTTAATTTTTCATACAATTTCTCTTTACAAATCAATTTTTAAACTTATTTTTATCATCAATCATCATCTAGATAGGGATATAAGGCTAAACTACTTACCAAGCACAAAACACACAAGCAACAAAACTCTAAACACGCTAACAAGATACAATTTGTACTTTTTTCTTTCAAGAGCCTCAAAACACAAAACAAAACTACAAGTTACACTCCTCTTTCAAGAAGCTTATATGTAATCATCAAAACTAATAAAGACCATGTCTTTATCTTGAGCTTGATCAACAACAACTACATTGAGTCTTATGTGACATGCATCATGAGCATAAATGTTTTGTGATGGGTACGATATGAAATACAATTAGGGGTGGAAAATGGTCCAATTCGACCCTTTTAGACTTGGCCTGCCATTGACCCACCAAAAATGAATCGAGTCGGGCTAACCTACTAGAAAAAAAAAAAAAAAGCCAAAAACAAGCCCTAACCCGTTGGCCCGCCAAAAAAAAAACAAAGAAAAAAAGTTGTGTATTTATTTTGAGTTACTCTTCCAACATTTTTCTCAATATTTAAATTACCTACATAAATCAGTGTAACTAAATAATAAAAAAAATCTCAAATTACATCTAATTTGATTTGATATACTACACAATAAATCTTAAATTCGTTGTATAACAAAATAGATATACAATTAACTAATTATAATAATATTTATAGCTCTTGTAATAAATTTATTGCACAACAAATATCAAATTACATATTATAAAATAAATCAAATACACAACAGATTTATTGTATAATAAATCATAGATTATACATAAAATAAATATGAAATGACTTAATTAAAATTATATTAAAAATAATATAATAAATACAAAAAAATATTTAAAAAAATGGGTTAGCGGGCCAACTCTCCCTGACCTATCATTTGGCTTGACGAGCTAGCAGGCTAAAATATCTGGCCCATCCCACCAATTTTTTGTGGGCCAGCGGGTCGGCCTGTAGGCTTTAGCCCATTTTTTAACCCCTAAATATAATAACTAGGGAAAGGTCCCCTTTGTGTGATCTAGGGGTTTCATGACCTTTGGGACAACCAAGTTTGGAAGCCCTAATTTCGTCCTTTTGTGCTCACGGGATGAAACTTGGTTGACATTGTTATTCCGATACATCTTAATGTATCTCCTGCTAGTGTAGAGTGTTACGATGACTTGACGCGACATGTTCTCTTAAGTTACTTTATGTGTGCCTTTGTGCAATTTTAAAATGTTTTACTAGTGTGTCTCATACATTTAGACTAGTGATGTCCATGTCCATTGAATTTGTCTAAATCATGATTTATTAGTATGTTGAGTTATTCTTAAGTTAAATTTGTTGCTAATGCTATGATGATCAAGTAATTTATATATGCTATGTTTTTGTTGTATAGCTATTTGACTATATCTCGCACTAGTAGCTAAAGTGAGATGTTTCTCACTCTCATTTCTTCTACTTTTGTGTTCTTATATGTGTTTTGTAGGTAAGAATCAATATTTGATAATGATGTTAGAGTAATGCCTAATGATAGTTGAACTTTGATCGATAGGATATGACATTGGGTTTTTAGTTAAGATTTCATGTTTTGTTTAGTCTTGATCATGTTTACGACTTATGTTAATTTCTCAATTATATATAATAACTTGTTTAGTCACTTATTTAGTACTTCATAGTTTTAGTTATGTTTTCAGATGTAATACCTCTTTTAGATAGGCTTTGTTGGATGGAGGGTGTCACAGTTCATGTGGTATCCCATGGATTACAAAAATAATCCCAAATGACGCATGGATAACACATCTAGTATATGTATTAGATAGATAATTGTAGATATAGATTAGAAATTTTTAGTTTTATTTTTAAAGTTGTAAACTTATCTTCATTTTACTCGTTATTATTACTTTTTTGTCTATTTGTGTTTCTTTGCTTATTAATGTTTATCCATTAATGTTACTATTATATAAACTAAACAGTCTCTAATTCAAGAGTCATCTTCCCATCTTTTTTTGTAAAATACTGGAAAAATAATATTAATCATATTTAAAGTGACATTATTAAATTTCATAAATAATTATTACAATGATATTATTTTTATGAGGAATAATGATTATACCCAGAATTTACGGTGATGGATGTATTATTGTATGGATTATGAGTATGAATTATTTCCTACAAAAGTTATGGTGAAGGATTAATTATTGCATGAGAATTTATGCAGACATTGTTAGCTTTATTATTAATAATATACGATGATTTATTTACATGGCTGTTGTTATTTTTAATCATTTTCAATTTTTCAATATTTTTTATTAAATTGTTTTTATCAACGTGCTTAATGTCTGCCATAGAAGTCATTCTCTTTTCTAATACATATCATGCACCTTGAAGAAGTCATATACACCGAGAAACACAGTTTCTTCTACCGCTCTTTTATCTCTGTCCTTGTTTGGTCTTTTTTATATGTTGAAAACTTGTTAGTTTTACATCTTAACGCTCACACTAAGATTAAGAACTTGCATCAAAGTTTACAAACAAGTCTTAATTTTAGGATAGTGCACTATGCATCTTAGAAATTATATTAATTTGATTGTGTAATCAAATTAATTGACTACTACATCTATAACTTTGTGCATGTCAATTCAACTCACTCTTAATGACTAAATTATACTTTTAGTCCCTTTATTTATTTCTAAGATTCAATTTGTTTTCACTATTTTTAAATACTTTAATTTGGTCCTCTAATTCTTTAAAAATATTCGATGTTATCCTTTCATTCAAATTTACCAACGATGTTAATGAAATTGAATAAAAAGGCAATATTGAATATTATTCAAAAATTAGATTACCAAATTGAATCACTTAAAAATAGCGGGATCAAGTTGAACATTCCCTTAGAGTAGCAAACGAGGGTACCTTGTTGTTGGTTATCATGTGGGAGATTTGGGTTAATAGAAATGCAGCTTTGTTCTCGGGGTCAGCTAAACCTCTCTATATTAATGTGATGAACATATGGAATTGTCATTTAGATAGTGCGTATTATGCAATGTGCAGTTAAGGATCTGCAAGGGGAGGAGTGGTGGGTTAGTTGTCTACATGCGCAATAAGATCAAATAGTTGTTCATGTTGATGGTAGTGCACATAGTTGCCCTAGCCCAGCAGGTTTTGGTGGTCTTTTAAAGGACAACAGAGGTCATTGGATTGTTGGGTTCTATGGTGATGCTGGAGTCATTGATAATCTAATAGATGAGTTGTTAGCAATACTTCATATATAGGTTGGAACTGGCTTGGAGAAATAATTTTCATGACATTAATTATCTGTGTTTCGGATTCTTTAAATGCTATAAATCTGGTGCGAGGTGATCCTATGTTTTGTCATAAGTATGCAGTGGCTATTGCAAAGATTAAAGATTGTATGCAAAGAGCTTGGAAAGTTAATCTTTATCACTCTTTGAGGGAAGGAAATCAATGTGCGGATTTTATGTCCAAAATGGGTCCTAATTGTGGGTCTCATTTACTTGTTACAGAGGTTATGTCTGTTAGTTTAGCCCCTCTTATAAGGGCAGATGAATCCAAGACTTTGTTCCTAAGGGTGTAGGCTTTTTCCTTTTTGTTTTTTGTTTTTTGTTTTTCGTTTGTACTACCCAAAAATAAAATTGAGCATTCCTTAAATAAAAGGATTAAATTGGACAAAAATTTGTCTAACATTTTTTTTAAGATTAATTTGAATTTTTTTTTATCAATTTAAAAATTTATTTTATTAGATACCTCTTTCATTTTGTGATTATTTTTTTTATTTTAAGTACTCAATTTGTTGTCATTCATGATTTTTTGTTAAGTTAAATAAAAAAAATCAAATTTATCTAAAACTAAATAAATTTTATTTAATTTAATCTTACTATTTTTAATTTTTTTAATTTGATCTCATTATCTTTATGTTTAATTTGATTCTCTAATTTTTAAAAATAAAATATTTAATGCTATTCTTTTATCTAATTTCAATAACGTCATTGATGATCAAAAACATTATTGAACATATTTTAAAAAATAAAGCACTATATTAAATCTTTTGAAAATAACAAAGTTTATTTGGGTTTCAACTTAAATTCATTGAGTCCATTAAATAGTCTGATACAGTGAGCCCATTTTGTTGAATTTTTCACTACTGGAAATGTGGGAATATAAATAACTAAGGCTCTAGTTAAATCATACAGTATCTCATGACAATAGAACCTCAATTGGCTACAGAGGACAGCACCAGTGATGAAGAGAAATTCAAAACAAGAGATGGAGAAAAAGATGATATCACAAGTGACATGCTAGTAGACACTTTGGAAGAATCAATCAGGATGATTTGTCGTTTCATTAGAGCTGATAAAGATGCATCTAGCTTGATCCATAAAGGTCCTAGAGAAACTCAAGTAAAGCTCCAAGATCCTGCAGATTCAGAATTCCTTATGGAGATTCAAGCAGAACTTCGAAAGGTAATTTAATTAAGGCTTCAAAAACAATTGCTTATCTGAAAAAGGTTTCATAATGTTTCTTCTTTTCTTAAACAATTTTATTTTCATGTTTGGATATGCAGAAGGAAAAGAGACTTAATGAATTCTTGAAGAGCAGAAGTAGCATACTGAAGAAGTTCCAAAAGCATGAGGAAGGTGGTAGAGATCATTTTCTTTACCTTTTCCCTCGAGGAGACATGAAATTGATTTGGAGAGTGTTGAACATGTCGAAAATAACAAGGGATCAACTAGCATGGTGTCGTAATAAACTAAATAATATCAACTTTGTAAACAGAAGGATACATATAGAACCATCTTTCTTACTTTTTCCTTGTCAATAATTATTTGCTAGTTTTTTTTTCTTTTTCTTTTTGTATATATGTTGCTTCACATATAGAAGGCCATTGTGCATGCAGACAAAGTTTTATTTAAGCATAATTTATGATGAATTAGAATCAGAATAAGGTATGATTCTTATGTAAATAAAGAAACCATCTTCATGTTTTGAGACAGTCTAATAAAATGCGTGTAGAGTTTTGTTTATAAGCAGCTTATTAAGTCAAATCCTTGGGTCTGTGAGCCTTGTTTATTATTTTTGTCATGAGAAATATATTTTATCTATTAAGCTAATTTTGGTGATCCAGTGTTTGGATATTTTTGTCATGAGAAATATACTTTAATGAATTAAAATTACTGATTAAATTAAACTTGTATAAATTAAGAAAGGAAAAGAGTTGGAAAATTTTGAAATAGTAGGTCGTCAAATTTTAATGTAAGGGAGTAATTGTTTAAGGGAAAAGAAATAGGGAATTAAAATAATAACATTTTTTAAAATAAAAAATGCATGTAAAATATAAAAATGAAAAATATGTTGTGATTAATGGAACCTTGGTAGTCTAATGAGCCGCGCATTAAAGTATAAGACTCAAATTCAATAACCGAGTCTAAATATAAATGTTGAACAAAGTTTATTTGGGTTTCAACTTAAATTCATTGAGTCCATTAAATAGTCTGATACAGTGAGCCCATTTTGTTGAATTTTTCACTACTGGAAATGTGGGAATATAAATAACTAAGGCTCTAGTATAGCAGGGGAAAAGAATACATATATATATAATTTAACTAATACAATACATCGTTGAGTTGACCTTATGGCATGTGCAACAGAAAACCTATGGCAATTGGCAAGAGTGTTCTTGCCACACCAACAACGATGAGAAGTTAATTGGTAGTAATAATTTGAGGTCCAGAATTTGGTATATTTCAAGTCATTTGTTGTCCCTTTTTTCTCCTGCCTTGTCACTCTCGCCATTAAGCCTGTTGGAACTTGTTATATACGATTTGCATCTCATTATGTTTTTTTTTTAATCTAGCATACATTTCTTTTTTCTTCAAATATAAGCATTAATTACATAAGTTATTATGATAAAAAAAATTTCTACAAAATCATTTATTAAAAAAGTAGAATGTAGTGTAAGAAAAATTAAAACCTTAATATATAATTTATAATAGCGGTGATAAAATGTTTTTCTATAAAATCATTACATTTCTTTTTCTTCAAAAATAAGCATTAATTACATAAGTTATTATGATAAAATGTTTTTCTACGAAATCATTTATTAAAAAAGTAGAATGTAGTGTAAGAAAAATTAAAACAATATATAATTTATACTAGCGGAAACGTAATTCTTGTAATTATTATCAAACTATTAAATATGTAATAGTATTTAGATATTTTGAAGAATAGATAGAATTTTCCTAGTTTTTGTTCTTCTTTAAGGGGGTGTATTGGTTTAGGATTTTTTTTTTGTCAAAATTAGTTTTAGTTTCTCTATTTAAAAAATGAAGGTTTTGATCCTTGTATTCTTAAATTGTGATAGATTTTATCAGGGTCTAACTCAGTTGAATAGTGTGAGTTATAAAAAAAAAATTCTGATAGGTTTTGTCTCTGATCCTATACTTCAATTTTGACTTGGCCTGAGACAAAATCTAACACATCTCAGAAATACAAGGATTAACACTGCCCTTTTTAAAATGTAGGAACTAAAATAAAAGTGGAAACCTGGTTGCAAAATTAGTCTGACCCTATATGTAAGATTTGACTATGTGGCATAAAGCAAAACAGCAAAAGAAGAGAAAGGTAGAAAAAAAAATGAGTATGAATCAGAAGAGTTCTTACTTGGAAGGTCCCATGGATCATATTTGTAAATATCCACTTGCTTGATCAGTTCAATAGGAAGAGACTTCTGCTGAATTTTTCTCTTGAGATAAAAATCAACAAGCTCTTCATCAGTTGGGTGAAAACGAAAGCCTGGCATCACATCCTCAATCTTTTCCATCTCATTCCTCTCCTCCATGTTCTCTCTCTCTCTGAATTTCTTGTCCAAGAACCAAATGCAAATATATAGAGAGAGGCTTCTCAAGATGTCAACACTTGTTCCAATATCTCTAAGAAGCTTCAACCTAGTAAGTGACAATTACAATATAAGATACTATTATAATACCCATCATGGCTATCATATCTGCACACATGGAAACACAATCATGTTGATGTTGTAGTTTGCAAATTTTGGAAAACAAAACAAAATCCATTATTAATGTGCTGTTCTCAAATATGAGTAATAAAAAGTTTCAAGTTATGCTAACTCACAGTGTGTGCAAATTTGCTTAGTCCAAGGCCATGTTGTGTGCTCTCTCAAGAAGGTTTCTGTTCCCAAAGCTTCTGCCTCCGTTTTAGGATGTCTCTCATGAGAGAGAGTGTAAAACTTGGATGAAAATCAAGATGAGTTTGGTGTTGAGAAGTGGTTGTCTTTGTGAGATATTTAAGCTCCTTATGATGAAACACATGCCAAGGAAAGATGTCACAAAGTCAAGAAAAGTAAAACCCCTTTCAAGTTTGCAATGGATCTTTCTTACTTCTCACTTGGCCTAATATACTTGTGTGAATGGCCAAAGATTAAGGATCAGAAGAGACTGCAGAATTAGATGCATTATGGGGTGTTTTTATATTGTGAATGTGTGATTGTTTCACTTTCATCGATGATGCTCACAAACATTTCCTTTTATCTTCAACAAATCAAAGACAAGCACAATATGACAAGGCAAGCTTCTAACGTGATTATTCTTTTCATTTCTACAGATAAGTAATTCTATTTGGAATTGTTCTTGTGTGAAAATATAATAATACTATTGATGTTGCTTTCAATTCTCTGCCAATGGATTGTTTTTAAGTTGTAAAAAATCTCAAATGAATACCAGTGGATTTTAATGGACTCTTTAAAAAATCCTGAAAATCCAGATTGAATACCACTGGATTGTTTTTAAGTGACATAAAATCCTGATTGAATACCAATGGACTTTTTTACTCAAAAAAAGTCTTTTAAAATCCTACGAAATCCTAAACCAATACACCCCCCTTAGTGTTAGAGCAATCTTATTTACTATGGCATTCAAAGATATTGGAGTGATAACGATATCTAAAAAAGTCTTTTAAAATCCTAATCCAATACACCTCCCTAAGTTTATTAGACAATTGAATCCCACAAGTGCTTTTATAGGCACGATTATAGATCCTCTACTTTATTATCATAATAGTGTTCAATTAATCCCTTCATTAAGAACCAATAAAACATGCAAATTATAACTCTTTTTGTAACAGTTCCTTATAATCAAGCAATTAATTAGATTAATAAGGTAATTAAATCAAACATAAATTATATGATTAATTTTTTCCAACATTTTCCCACCTAGTTCATATATTCTTTAGAAATTATCCCAATCATCAACAACTAATATGACCATTTAACTTAAAGTTTGAAATTTTTCTAAACTATATATAAATTATCATATATGAATCATGACAGTTATGTTTTAAGATAAACACTTTCTTCTATGTATTACAATGCATAACACTTCCTAATAACTGAAATAGGTCCACACTATATTGATTCATATCTTTATATGACAAACTTATATTAGTGTGCCCAAAGTCATAAAATCAAAAAGACAAACTTTAATGCAAGCTCTTAAGTATATGATCCTAAAATACTGTAATTAACAATCTTTTATTGGATCATTGATTCTACAACTATATACTTAATAGAAATAAACTTTCTTTTTATGTCGACTTTATGTCAATTTGCTTGCTTTAGCCTCCACTTTTAGTATTCTTCAAAAAGAATACTTAGTCGAGAGTCTTTAATTAATCTTCAATAAAATTAAATTTAAGATAAAAAAACATTATGTTTGATATAATCTCATAGTATCCCACAAATATTTTCTTTGAAGTGATTTTCAAGAGTATCACATGCTCCCACTTATTTTCTCAAATTTCACTTTTTGATAATTCACTTTTACTTATTGGAAATTTTGACTCCCACTAAATTTTTGGAATGTCTGTATATGGTGATAAAATATATATCATTTTTGCAATATAATATTAATGCTATGATATTTCTTAAATTAGTATATTGAAACCTTTTGATTCAAAACATGTATATAATTTACAAACTTTATATATGGACAATAAATATCACAATAAAATAGATCATGCCTATGGATATAGAAATATTTTATCATGACATTTAGGCCATAACCTTAATTAATTATTTCTTTCTTATGAAATAACTCTTTTGTTACATTGTCTAGATGTTATGGCTACTCTTAATCATGTAATTCATATATATTAATTAATTCATGAATTAATCTTTTATCATAATTTACAATAGAAACAATTGTGAATTACATAATTGCAAAGTTTAAATATGATCACTCATTATATAATATGAGATCAATGAAAATTATGTATAAATATATGAATCTAAGGACATAAAACTTGCCTATAGGGTAAAACGTTACTCAGTTTGATTCATCATGTGACACCCTCTACCCCATTATTAATATACAACAAATACAACAATAAAATATTTCTTTTCTTCTTTTTGGGTAAATAAAATCTTTCATAGTTGACAAATATTTCAAATATAACAAGGTAGAAGATTCACATTCGTAACTCATCAATCATAAAAAGTCAAATATAAGTATTAAACTCAAGAAATCATATATATACAAATAATAATAAAGGAAATATAAATTAACTCCAGTAAAGGTGGCAGTGCCTCCTAGTTAGGGATTAATTTATACTCCCAAATCATATAATAATAAATATAACAAAGATGTACAATTTGGTCTTTTCTCAAGAACGTTCAAAATTACATAAGAAGAGAAAATTAAAGCTTTTAAAACAATAACATCCCTAAAAAAAC